ATTCAATAACTATTAACATAACCTGCCGAAGTATTATTAGAACGTGTTCAACAAGTAATGTTCAATTAACATCAAGATAGCAAGTAGCAGTCGATAACAAAGTTAAATCTTGGATAGAGTGCTTTTTCTGAAAGCTCGGCCATAGGGTAGCTTGTAGCAACAACCTACATCATCTATGCAGACACTAAGTTCGTGCATTAAGGATACGTGCTAAGTATCCTCGGCATATAACCAACTTTCTGTGCACAAACTAGAAGTTGTTGCACTGGCCTTCTGGGTAATATCCATTGTTAGCGAATGCCAAAGAACACAATACGCGGCGCGTGCTGAAGGGAGAAGAGAGAGCTGACACGTTATAACGGTGCGATCGTACCAAGCGGTACTATGCTCTCTCTCTCTCTCTCTCTCTCTCTCTCTCTCACGCGCATTTATAACCCCAGGGAGCTTTTCGCCATTTCTCGCATGCGTTTTCTCTCTTCCTCTCGCCAAAGCTTTATCTTTTGATTTATAATGTCGATAGCGAATGAAACACGGTTGTGGCCGCCGATTCGGCAAACAGAGAGGATCTCACGTGAATTACCGGTGAATATCAGCTGATGATTGGAACCAAATTTTTTTATCTGTCTTATAATGGTTTTCAATCATTTCTACTTAAAATTACTAATGCCTGGAGAAGATTGAAAAGAATGAAACAAGTAGACGATTCATTAAAATGGATAACAATCGCGAACAATATTTTGGAACTCGATACTTGACAAAGCATTCAGTCAAGTATCAAGTTTCAGCATTCGTCTTTAATTAGTTCAAAGGCAAAATTACATGATCAGTAGAAGCATAGCTCTCACGATTCGTTCCATAAAATTGTCTAATCTTTTTCTAGTCATCGCAAGCTCATTCAGAGGAAAGCAGGAACCTTAGCAAATGCCTGTGCAATCGATGGAGTTAGCAAATGCGACGTTTAACAGTATGTTCGTGAAATATGCCAAGCGAGCAAGTAAATCAGATGGGGTAAGCTAGCGCGCAGTAGGAATTCAAGACGCAAACAATGCACAAGAGTGAGCGTGGCGCGCCGCTCGCGACAATAGGAGACCCAATTCGGTCGCGAGTGCAGTATGCGCCTACTATAAGCGATGCGTGCGACTATATATATTGTCGTAAATAGAGCAAGTAGTCTCTCTCTCGAAAGCGAAATATTCGAAATGGAGATGATGCTCGTGATGGCTCATTGTGGCTTTGGCAATCCACACTGGATGACCGCCCGCGCATATATACATATATACATCGTATAAGCGACAATGGCACGCCTGCGATGAATGGAGCGTGCGCGTTCCTGGAACGGAGTGAGCCCTCCTCTCCCCCGAGAGAGAGAGAGAGAGAGAGAGAGAGAGAGAGGGGGAGCCCGCGTACATCTCGTTAGGCGATGCGATATAATTCAGCGTGCGAGAGAGAGAGAGAGAGTACCTTGATGAGATTGATTGTCGTCGCCGCAGTACGTATACACGCTCGATATTGCAGATCAGCTACCTCTCTATCGATATATACCCTCCCACTTCGCTCGATTCGACGGCGTTTCCGTATTAATAGGTAGGGAGAGCCTCGAAGCCGCAGATGTACAATACCAGGACAACGGACCATTCCGTGGCTTTGACTATGCTTCGCGCGCCCAACGATTTGACTCTGTGATATCGTATTTGTTATCGAAACCTTAGTGTCGCTGATTATGCGCCGTGGATGAATAATATACGACGTGCACTTGACATTAGTACCAGACACGATGCTTTATTGTTTATTATTCAATGGTCATTTATATTATTTGCAATAAGGAACAATTTTATGTGATTCAGAAAAACTTATGTATTCTTCTTTGACTTTGGAGTAAAATGAAATGAATAATTCATCATGACGAATCGCATACATTAATTTAGCTGGGAACTTGCGCCGACGATACGTTCCGACTAACTAAAAGCAGAGGAGAAAAAACAAAAAAACGAAGAAGTGTCTGAGTGGCAGTGGTGGAAAGAGTGGCGAGTCGAGTTCGAGTTCGAGTTCGAGAGAAGTGAGCGTACAAGCTTGTGTTATAGCCTCTCAGTAGCTTTTCTCTTTTCTTCTCTTGTCACACAGGTGCGTGACCGCTCGAGTATTTTCCCCAGTGTAACTTGGGCACGAAGCGACGCTGTTATTACGACTCGAGAGGGCCAAGCGTACATAAAGGAGAGAACATGCGCAACCAGTGCGAGAGAGAGAGAGAGAGAGAGTACGTTTTGTTGCAGCACCCAGCAACGCGACAAAGTGAGCCCCCGAGACAAATGAAGAAGTCTAAGCGCGCACGGATTTCTATTTATGCAAATTTTCAGCTTTCCCCACCTTTTTTTTTGCTCTCTCACCACGGCGAAAATTTTTTCTAGATTATTTTTTTATACCGTCGTCGGAAATTCGCTTACGCAGTGGTCGAGCTTGCAAGTTCATTAAGATGATAATTTTCATTTGCATTGTGTCTTGGAAATAATATAGCCTTGATTAAGCAAAAAACTTGGTTTATTAAAGTTGAGTGTTTGTCTAACGAAATATTCTTTTTACAAAATTGTACATAATATTAATTTGGCTCGAAGTTTGTTTTGTGTGAAAGTTCATGTTAAAACCTTAAATAAAAAACTTTAAATAAACTTTTAACGTCGCATCGTGCATTCATGAAACTAACTTAATAACGGTAAGATTTAGAGAGTAACTTTCCTAGATGGTTTATTCTGAAAATCCGAAATGGATAATATTTGAAACAAGATTTTGTGCCTAGGAATCTTTCACATCGACTTAGTTTCAAAACTATAGCATGCACTCAAAAAATTGGTATATGCTACGATTTGAACGTTAAATTGGATAAAAAATATTTAAAAACTATGTAAATTATGTTGATTCTATCATTACGTTAAGAGCTAAAATTGAGGAGCCAATTATTTCATATCAAAGCCAAATTCCATTTTACCTTTGTAAACTAACTTACGAATCAACAGTGAAGAGAAAAACCCAAAGAGAGAAAGAAAGAAAAGCTCACAAGAGCAAGTGTCATTAGCGGTAGGGGCGGCGAAAGAGAGCGGTCTTGGGTGCAAGAGTAGAGAGCGGTGCCACCCATGCGTGTGTCAGACACCCTAATAGCCTCAACGAAACTCTGCGTGGCGGCGGCGGCGCTGACGCATCATTATATCGGACTGCCGGCCACGCGAAACCAAGCTACGCTGCTCCAGCTGGCGCCGCGCTGCTGTCATCGGGTTTCTAATTGTCGGCCTTTGTCCCCTTGATCCCCCCAGACCGCAAGTAGTTTTGTGCAGTTACCACCTTTCTTCCTCCTCCCTCTCGTAAAATTATGATGCGAGACTCGCCTTCCATAATGCTTCTACTTCTGACTTAATTCGCATTATTGACCGTTCGCAGATTTTTTTTACTTTGGTTTTGCTAGCTCATCCAATTAGGCGCTTGTTTGTTGAATGAAGGGCTTCTCTAGTTTTTACTTTTCGTTCTAACTAACTTTCAATGCGGCTGTAGTTTAACAAGACTTTTTTATTACCCTCTAAAATTTATAGTCGTTTATTTATTTTAAACAAATTTCTTTTCTTATCTGAACCAAGTTTATTCGACAAACCGGAACTAAGCAAAAAATTTAAGTGCAGTACACGTACAAGGGATTTGAGAAACATGAACGAAAGTTCTTTTGAGTGGCAACATCGTTGAAATAGCTATAAGTATTGGATACAAAACTAAGTAGGAAAACAGATTAACTGAGTTTACTTTTATTCTTGGGCAAAAAGAATTGGATTTAATATGTTTTTAAGCTTTGTGGAGTCAATATTATATTATAACTATAAATGACAAAATGTAACAATACTATTTTTATTGGAATTTCTTAGAATCCGGAGAAAATATATCGAGTGGCAATGTAAGTAGTACAAATCGATTTTAGACCGACATGCAATAATGTTTCCATTTAAAAAAGTATTCTATATTAATAATAATAACAGTTTAAAAATAAATAATTTTAATAGTTTTATTCTACAATGTTAAAAGATAAATTGAATAAAATATAAGACTATGAAAGCTCATAAATTCGTTGGACGTTCATATATTTTATCGCACCGACAAGTTATCTCAAAGTATATCGCATTCTGGCAGTAATATTTCTTTTAATAAAAGTATAATTCTAGAGAAAGAAAGTAAAATATGAAACTTCAACATTTAATTCCCCAAGTGACATCATCGCGAGGCGAGCGCAACAGAAAAAGTCAGCCAAGAATATCAGAGGCAGGACGAAAAAGGACAAGTCGGAGTAGGCAAAATGAAACGAGCGCGTGTGCGCTGGAAAGGGAAATAAATTGTATCCTCTTGGGGATATTGGTTCGGGCCTATCTTGCACGTAAGCTCGGGAATATCGTTTGATAGTGATTTGGTACTTTTAGCGGTTAAACGACACTTTCCCCTGTAACTCGTGTGTTGCCCGAGCGCGGATAGACAGAGAAAAAAATCCCGGAAAAATTTGTTTTCATGTTTGCTATCCCTCGGAAAGGCGCGCAAAGCATTCTGGTTGCACACGGGCTTTCCAATGATTTAACGAGCTCTCGTTGAAAATTCGTAAGCTGACAAGCTCGTCGAGAGCTTTACGAGTTGGCCGCTCGTATTCGCTGTTGCCGGCAAAACTTCGTTTATCGCGAGCCCGCGAGAGCCAGAGATTTGGTCCTTTCATTACTCTGCGTCGAGAGCGGTTCTGCTGCTACTGTGAGTGTCATTTCGTCATTTCCTGAATGGCGGGTCGAATTGCCCTTTTCCAAGCGCATTGTATTACTGGGTTGAAAGCTTGTCGTTAATATTAATGATCGCAACAGGCTTATTTGATAACTATCAACGACTTTCCGATTTTGTTTTTTGAGTTTTATTTCCATTGATATTTGTAAATGTACTCGTATTGAAGACCATTTTTCAAAGTAAAATCATAAATAAAATCATACAATACTTACTGGTTTCCGGAATTCTCGTATCACGAGCGACTAGAAGCTGGGCTGCAAGTGAAGCCCTATGACCAGAAGTACTTTCAGCTACGCATTCGTATCTACCGCTGTCTTCCGGTCGTGCCGACGATATCACCACTTTTGATCGCCGTCTGCAAAATAAAGCAGTCAGTCAAAAAACCAGTATCAATTATTGCTATTACAAAGAGATTCAATTGATAGCTGAGGAAAAATTCTTTCCGCGTGCGTTGGAATGAAATGCATAAGCAGACAGTAGAAGAGCAGGGAGAATAAAGAGACGTTGCAGTCGTCGCTTGCACGTTTATATATATATATATATATACATACACACATTTATGATATATATACGTATACGAAGCCCTTGTGTACGCGTTCAAGTCTGCACCTCGCCAAGGGTTTTAACAAGGATTTCATTTCATTTACATATCTTCCCTATCCTACAAGTATATGAATACAGACTTCTTCTAGTAGTTGGACGCACTCGCTTTTCGCTCTTTTACTTCTTCTATCTCTCTTACTTTGAAAAAGGGGGTTTCAACTCTTTCATCGCGTACTCAGCTGCCCTTTATTAAACTCGGCCATTTCTTTTCTCCTTCACTCTCTTGCTCGTGCGAATAATTAACTACGAGTGCCTCGTTGATTTTTCGCTGGACCGTAACTTTGAACTTTCTTTCTTTCCGATGGATTTTCTATACCTTCGAATCCTATAATGCTTTCTTGCACCTCGGCTTTCGCTTGTCATAAAGGTAACTTGAACTTCTCGCCTCGTTGTTTCAGTCACTGAGAATGTAATCGTTAATTCATGAAATGGCGTAAAAGCTATTGAAGGAGCTTGAACAAGGCACAAAGAATATTGCTATTTTATTACTTTGTATTGTTCTGCTTGAGCAGACAATTTCTTCAAGTAACGATAAACATAAAAGCTAAAGTGTTTTGTGCCTTTTGTTTCTTTTGGTTATTTTCTTATTATCATTTTCAATCGACTAATGCACCTCAAGACATCACTCTTAATCTCTTGTTCAGTTATTATTATTTCAGTTTTTACTTCGATTTTCACAATAATTAAAAATTTCTTTTTTATTCTTTTCAAAAAATTATATAATCTTTAAAATATGATCTAGAAAAATTGAAGCCTTCATGATATACATTCAACAACTATATTTGAGTGACAATGCTTAGAAGAATAAAAATAGATAGGTATTCAAAATTCAAAGCGATGTGCGCTTGTAAGTGAGCGAATGCAATATGTTCTTCGTCGGATTAACTTTTATTTTTTATTTTTATGGATTGCTTTTATACTTCTTTTATAGAGAGTCTAACTCTCAATCCAGTCAATCGAATGGTTCACTTACACTCACTCAATTTTCAAAGTTCTACTAACCGATGTGCGTTGTCTTTTAGTAGGCACTGTCGGGTAGAATAAACAGTCGACTAAACCTCTGGAACTTTAATTAAAAATACTTTGAATTCATCAATATGTGTAAAAAGAAATATTAAGATACGACCACTTGGTTGAAACTTTACAGATTTATAGTTGCGAGCACTGTTAATTTTTTAGCCTCATCAGAGTAAAAATATAAATTTTCAAGTGGAGTATTCATAAATGGAGAAGTAGGTATATAGCAGTAAATGCAAGTAACCCATCCATGGACTTTCACGATATCAAATCTAAAAGTCAAAAGAGAAGAGGGAGAGGAAGCTTATACGCTTTTAAGTGGTAAGCCATTCCGATATCGAAATCAATACATATATAATGCATATATGTGGACATATTATGTGCATAGAATATAACTGCGGAAAAGATACATATATACAGTACAATTCCAGTCCTGAATTTGGGTATCAAGTGAAACGACCGGTTTGCATATACTTTCGTTAGTTTTATACCTCGGTCTACCCTCGATTCACTCTTTTTTCAATTAAACGTATTACATTTCACATTTAGCTGGACAGAACTTTTGCTTACTCCGTATCCACGTACAGCGAAATCGAGTAACTGGAGGCGTGCGTTGCGCGGCGCCGGCGGGAAAATAAAGCAAATTAGGCTCTCAATGCGGGGCGCATTCAAATAGCTCGAGAGTTGAAAATTCCGTTTTGAATTTTTCAATCGCACACATTGCGCATAGCGAGGGGGACGACGTTCAATAAGAGAACTTTAATTCTCGGTAGTTTATATTGGTACGTTTGGCGAGTGAGCGCGAGCTAGCCAGCAAGCGTATCTGGCAAACAATGCAAATCGCGTTTTAAATATTCACACCGTTAACCGCATCGAAATTGTACCGCGTTTTGCTTTCCGCTTGAAGAACGAGCCCTGCCTGCAGATATCCCCTGGCGATGCTCTCGAGAAGGACGAATAAATAAACTTTCTCTTGCCCTGTTTTTGCTTGTACGCTTGCAATTTTGCGAATTATTCAAATCTCGCGTTCGTTCGTTCGTTCGCTCGTTCGTTCCGACTGTATTGACGTCCATTGATAACTCGTTAACTAGGTCAGCGCTGCTGCACCCGTTGCTGTGAATGAATATCCTTCAATCGTCAGGCAAACTAACATGACAAAAGCCGCACGCAGTCTTACGAATGGAAAACCGGCCTCGAAACTCCGATTTGGCGCTGTAATGCTGGAAAAAAAAAAGAGAACTCGCAATGTCAATCGGCGCGTGAATGAACGTACCCCGCAAAGAGCTCGTTCATAGATTGTCTCTTCGAGTCCGCCTAATGCGCGCGCACGTAGAGCCCCAAGCAACGCTAGCAGCAGTAGCCAAAATTAAGATCACGAGGGCAAAGTGCGCAAACTGGAGCTTTTCGTAGGTAATTCAACGTGAACCCGCAGAAACAAGATGAAAGGAAAGCAGCAGCGGCGAGCAACGTCGGCTGTAGCTCGCTCTCTTGCATGAACGAGGTGGAATACATAAATAGATTGCCACTGCCGTGCGTATACGCGTTCCTCCTCGGCTCACTCTTTGGCGCGCGCACGAGAGAGAGAGAGAGAGAGCTTTCTTTCTCTCTCGCTCTCCCATTCTGGGTTCTTTTGAGAGAGTAGCAGTAGTCTAGACGGAGTGTCGATTTTTGCCACCGCACCAAATTAGAAACCCACTTCTCTCTCTCTCTCTCTCTCTTTTACTCTTGCTTTCTGTCCACCCTCTCAGCTTCTTATATATACCAGTGTACTTTCTTCTCTCTCCCTCTTCTTATTTTCTTGCCTCTCAGCGACATCAGTTTACTGTGGATCCGCGTAGACTCGACTATTGCTCTGCACACATACTGAGTAGACATGTTATTACGATCAATGAGCTCTTTCTGGCCCACTCGACGACCTTTCAAGTAGAGCTTTTCGTTTGTTATCCGCAGTAAGAAAGTGATTTGAGATCTACTGATCGTGTGTTATTATAGATAACTTTTTAATATCGAAGTTAATTTCCCGTATTTTCTGTATTGGCGGGCATTAATTAGATAAATGTGGCTGAAAGGGCAACGCTGAATGAATTAGATAGATATCTCAGTCTAGATCGTATAAATAATACTCTTGGCAACGTGCGACAACTTTCGGGAGGGCATTCCCTCTTGGCAGCGTCGCACTAGCTTCCTACTTATTTGTTATGTAAGATTTTGTTAGCTTTGCGGATATCGTTGCACCTGAATGCACTCGAGATGACTTTCGAACGGCTTGGATTGGAGCCACGTGGCTCTCTCTACCTCTGTCTCTTAGATGCAAGCACATAAAGCTTTCATTGCACGCCGTCATTGGATATGTATGAAGCGAGACCGAGCTTGAGTGCATTATGAATTATGTCAAAACATTTAATTGGATTCAAATTTCAAAGTGAGCTTACAAATGAATGTCCTTCTTATTAGATTCCATTTGCGCAGTGAACGCGCTCGTTTATGGTACACTTTGCATAAATATTTCGTGCCCCGCAAGTGCGTGCTTCGCGTTCACATAGATTATTTGATGGTCACGGGTTTTCAATTAGCGCGGTGACTCACAATAAAGATTCCTTGTTATTTGCACAAAATCTCAAAATAGATCGAATGATTAACTGACATACTGTGTATTATTTTACGAACATTCTTCCTGTATAGTGTTAATAGTAGGCAAGAAACAGTAGGCCAGGTCCTTAAATAAATTTAATTCGCTTGATGTTGAAGTTATTATTTTGTACTGCCGCTTCTTTACATTACACGCGTCTTTCACTACAAATTCCAGCAAGTTTAACTGGATCAATCGCTATTTAGAAAAAATCTTGTTGAGTGTCGCATAACTCCGCAAGTTATACATGCGTCAGGTACCTAGCTCCTGGACTTGCGACAATCGGAGTTTACTCGGCGCTCTTCGATGGGCAACACCGAGATGACGGTGTGGCGAGAGGATCCAATTTTATTTCGGCTGTTTGTGGCAGAGTCGTTGACTGCTATCACCGGAGTCTTGAGGGCTGGCAACCTCTTGCTGTCAGCGACCTCGTCTCCGGTGGGTGATGTTGCTTGTAGTCCGATGACCGCCTCTCGTCTCTTCTCTAGGTGACTTTAAAGCGGAGCCTTGCCGATTTGGCGTCGAGCAGCTCGCGAACCGAATGTTGTCGGTCCTGGGCCGTTGAGTGTCAATTCGATACTACTTATTCCTTCGAACAGCACGCGGTTTTCTTTGACAGGCGATGCCTATAGCACCCCAATCGCACGCATCACCTCGCAGTTTGAGTGTTTCAAGCGAAATATTCGTTACAACTTATATTTCTTCAAGTCGCAAACAATGATCCATCGATATTATAACCTAATGACACTAAGTAGAAAGCTGTCAATACATACGAAAAATATCATCTTAATTTATGAATAATTCACGAGTATGCAGGCAAAAGAGTATCGAAACAAATTGAAGCTGAGCAGCCCATCGAACGAACATGATATCCACCTGAAAAATAATTAAAGGAAGCCACGCTACGAAGGAGACGGAAGAATAGCACCGATACAGCTCTGCACTTGAGCTCGATAAAGAATGATCTACGACACATCGGCAGCAGTTTCTAAAAGCGAGCGCTAAAAAAACAAGTACACACGCACATCCAGGTTAAAAGAAGTAACACTTGTGAGAGGGAGAGAGAGTTTCCATTACACTGCGGAAAATGGATGTCTAATGACATC